GAAGGAAGGAAGGAAGGAAGGAAGGAAGGAAGGAAGGAAGGAAGGAAAGAGAGGGAGGGGAGAGAGGGAGGAGAGAGTGGGAGGGGAGAGAGGGTGGGATGGAGGGAGGGAGGAAAGGAGGAAAGAAGGAAGTAGAAGGAAGGAGGGGAGAGAGGGAGGGAGGGAGAAAGGAAGGCAAATATCAGTAAAAGAGCCAATCCAGTTCAAGTTGAGTTTAAAGATAAAGTAGTCTAAGGAAGGAGAGAAAAATGGGATGATTATCCATCAGTGTCTCCTCCTGACGTTATAAACACCGCCAATCTTGTGCTGTGTTTGTTTGTCATATGTTTACAGAAGTAGCAACTGCAAATAGAAAAGCTATTATTATTTGGGTGTTCTGCTCTGAAATAATAATCATTAAAAAAGATTTCAGTGTACTCCTTGGCCTGATCCCAGTTTCTTCTGCTATTGAAGCAAATGAACCATATTGCTAATTGAACTACTTATTTCTAAATTTGCAACCCTCTATGTAAAACAGAACATGCAAGTGTCACACAAAATCTATCTGTCTATCTTTCTTTCTATCTTTCTATCTATCTATCTATCTATCTATCTATCTATCTATCTATCTATCTATCTATCTATCATCTATCTTACACACCATTTCTCTCTTTCTCTCTCCATCTATCTCTCCATCCATCCATCCATCTCTTACACACACTATCTCTCTGTCTCTCTGTCTCTCTGTCTCTATCTATCTATCTATCTATCTATCTATCTATCTATCTATCTATCTATCTATCTATCTATCTCTATCACTATGTCTCTTACACCCTACACTGTTTCTCTCTCTCTCTCTCTCTCTCTCTCTCTTACACACACTATTTCTCTCTCTTTCTATATCTATCTGTATATCATCTATCTCTTACATACACTATTTCTCTCTCTCTTTCTCTCTGTCTATTTCTTATACACAGTATTTTTCTTTCGTTCTCTCAGTCTCTATCTTACAGACACTATTTCTCTCTCTCTTTATCTGTCTGTCTGTATCTCTCTCTCTCTTACATACACTCACTCTCTCTCTCTCTCTCTCTCTCTCTCTCTCTCTCTCTCTCTCTCTCTCTCTCTCTCTCTCTCTCTCACACACACACACACACACACACACACACACACACACACACTACAGTTCCTCCACCAGTTAAATCAAATCTGACACAAAAGGTTTCGGAGCCCAAATTGTAACAGGAAAGTCCTCGAGCATCTCTTTAGAAAGCCAGCACATTCCTGGGAAAATGCCTCTTGGTAGGGATCAGGAGTCCATCATATGATCTTGCTGAGAAGCATGAGAAGCTTTAATCTCTTCGCTTCAGGAAACACAGATTATCACAAGGTCTCTGCTGCCTCGGCTTGAATGGATTCCCCGCCTCTCCCCAGTTTTAAAGGTTAATTTAAACTTCCGACAGGAATTCTCATCTCATCTCATCCCATCCTGTGGCATGTTGAGTTTAACAATTCAGCACTTTCCAGCAGAAAAGTTTTGCAGTAACTCATTTGAAATATAAGAAGTTCTGGAGAAATTTGTCCATGGAGGTTCTTCGTCATCCAGGTCATGGTTGTCCCAAAGGTGTTCTTTCAAGAGGCAGCTGGACTTTCTGCTTTCTCTTTGAAGACATTTCACTTCTCATCCAAGAAGCTTCTTCAGCTCTGACTGGATCCTTCCATTCCCCACCACCCAGTCGGCTCCTACAAAGACGAGAGGGTCACTGAAACCGTCCTAAATATGAGTCCATTGCCAAGTGTCTGAATTTTGGTCACATGTCTATGGGTTGCTGCAACGGTTGTAAGTGTGAAAAATGGTCTCGTGTCACTTTTTTCAGTGCTGTTTTAGTTTTGAAAGGACTCTGACGGTTGTAAGCCGAGAACTTCCTGTTCTGTATTTCTGTTTATCCTGCGTGTCATAAAACAAGACTAAAGCTTACTCGACTTACAACTGTTCATTGAGTGACCACTCTAAGTTGCAACATCACAAAAAAAAAAACCTGATTTACAACTGGTGTTCTCATTTATGAGGGCATCACAGCATCCTCACAGTCAACGTGATAAAAAAAATAAATCAGATGGCATGTATTTTTGATGATTGTACCATGTTTTCCCCAAAATACAACCTACTCAGAAAGTAAGTCCTAACTTGATTTTTACATGTGCACCCAATATAAGCCCTATCCCCCCAAAATAAGCCCTAATTAGATGCATTAAGCTGGGGTGGGGATGGGGTGGTGGAGCTGCCCTACTACTTACCTTTGGATAGTTGCAGCCAAGTCTCACACACCTCGGCCCATTTCTTCTTCAGATTAACAGAGTTGGAAGGGAATCTGTAAGTCTAGTCCAACGCCCTGCCCAAGCAGGAGACCCTACACCTCTGATGATGAACCTATGGCACAAATGCCACCAGTGGCACGCAGAGCCATTTGTGCTGGCACACGAGCCGCAGGCAAACTTACCTCACTGCGCATGTGTGCGCCTCACAGCTGATTTTCAGCTGGTTTGAGGCCTTTTTCGGCCTCCCAGAGGCTTGAAAAAAGCCTCTGCAGGCCGAATAATAGGCCCGTGACAAAATGGGCCTATTATTCATCCTGCAAAGCCTGCAGAGGCTTTTTTCAAGCCTCTGGGAGGCCGAAAAAGGGCTCAAACCAGCCGAAAATCAGCTGTGAGGTGCAGTGCAGGTAAGAGGGAGCGGCGGGGGGTGGCAGGGGGGGATTGCGTGCGCATGTGCAGGGAGCATAGGGGGGCACGCATTGCCTTCTGGGTGCTGGCATGTGAGCATGCACGCGCCAGCGCACGCACAATTTTTGGCACAGGAGCCCCAAAAGTTTAGCCATCACTGCCCTACACCATTTCTGACAAATGGCAGTCCAATCTCTTTTTGAAAGTCTCAAGTGATGGCGCTCCCACAACTTCTGAAGGCAAGCTGTCTGGATGGATCCGGAGCTCTGTTATCGGCTACAGAGGTCTTCAGGTAAAGCTGGCTGGCTGCAGAAGAAATGGGCAGAGTTGTGCAAGGTCTGGCTGCAACCATC